GCAAACGGTGAGTGTGCCAGGACTTAGCTCTGGCCCCACTAATTAAAAAAAAAAAAACATACTGATATGAATAAAAACAATAACATTGACAATAGCTGCTAACATTTGTTCAGAGCTTACTAGATACCAGGTCCCAAACTAACCATTTTATAAGGATTTTCTCATTTAACCTTCACCACAGCCCTGAAAAGCAGGTTCTTTTATTATCTGCATTGTACTAACATGGAAACCAAGACACAGCAAGTGATGCAGGCCACACACCAGTGAGAGACCCTTAGCAGCTGTGAGTCACTGCCCCTCAGCAACTGTCCAGTGGCCCTGAGTTCTAGGATTCCAGCCAGGACCGGAGTACCGAGCGGAGCGCAGAGCACCGGCTTGCCCCTGCGCAAATGGGTAAAACCGGAAAGGCGAAAACAGGGTGGAGCAGGGCTATCACGGCCCGGACAGGGCGACCACAGGTGCCCCTCGGAAGGAGTTGGTGTGGGAGCCGAGAACAGAGTTGAGGGTGTACAGCTACTGGTAGGCCAAGTCAGTGGAAGCTGAAGTGAGGCGGATCTGAGCTATGGCAGGGCAACGAGATGGGTGGTCCACAGTGGCGATCAGAAAGGGAAGGGCAGCCATGGGAAGCACAGGGAAGGATGTGAGGCACCTCAGATGCACAAACCATTGGCTAGTTTGGCGGGAGGGTGTTCAGTCAATGGGAGAGGCACTGGGAGATCCCAGCAGCACCAGAATTCAGACCGTATTTGGTGCTCAGAAACAAGGATAGGTCCAATTCCCAGCCCTAAAGCACTGCGTCCAGATAGGACCAGCAGAAAGGATAGCTTAATACTGCTGGGAAGGTGCTTAAGGGTCTAAAGCATCACCTAAGAAGAATGAACGTCATCTTGTACACCTGTGATCTCACCCGGGAAGCTACTGCATATGTACATGGCACCACCAGCCAGGGTTGACACCATGTCTCCTTTCTAATAATCCCTCAAGAATCCATAGTGTGAAAAGGATCCTAATGCATGAAAGTGAATGGATTCCAGGTTAACCTGCAAAGAATGTCACTTTCACATTGTGACTTGTTTTCTTGAGGAGGAGAATAAAGAGACACAGATACAGCTGGCATGTTTGCTTAACCCTGGGGATGCTGTGTGAATGTGCCAAGCATGTGATATTAGTTCATCTCTCACAATGGAGAGAAAGCAGAAAATTTCCCTCGGAATCAATGGAGAGTTGATCTGAGGGTATGCAGGGGTGGGGCAGAGAACAACTGTGTTTTATTGTAAGCCCTTCTATAATGTTTGGATTGTATTTTTTGTTGTATGTGTTTGAATATGTGTGTGTACCAAAAACTTGAAAAGAAAAAACATATTAGACTTGACTATCAGGTTATCAGTTCTATACTACATCAAAAGGGAGGAAAACATAAGGGCAAAATGTTAACACGTGGTCACAGGCAGGTGATCAAGGCAATCGAACCAGCAGATTCAAGAATTTTAGAAAGAAAAGATTAATAGGCAGGGACCATTTAATGTGGGCATAAAGAAGTTCATATGTTTCTCAGAGGTCATTATAGCACAGTGAGTGTTAGCCTTACGGGGCCAGAGTGATATTGATACGCCAGTGAAGATAGGAGTATCCCAGTCACACCCTGTATAAGGGACCAGGAGCAAGGGAATACATTTTAGCACAACTTTTATCATAAAGAGTTAAGATCACAAATGAAAGAAGGCATCATTCTCATGTGCCTTTCCCTTTCAGCACTTAAATTACAGTAAGTCTTTAAGACTCTTCTAATTAAACCTGCCAAACTCTATGCCCTGGGAGGGCATGAAGGGTGTCTGTTTCGACCATCCACTTCCCTAGGAGGAAAATCGCTTCCATAGTTTCTCTTTCCTCAGCCACCTGAAATCTTCATCTGCTTCAGGCCAAACAGGGCTGTGGGCCTGGCCCCAGGAGCAGCCCCTGAGCTTCTGTAAAACAGGGGGAGGAAAGAGGCCTGTCCTCGCTCGTCACTGAGAGATGCTCTCCACCGAGTCCCACATAAAACTGAAAAGCCCGATCCCCTGCTGTCATTCCTCAGCTGCAGCTGTCTTTTGGAATAATTGAAACTCGAAAGGTCTGTTTTGACTGCTGCTGAGGAGGAAAGCTTAAATGGTAGTGGGAAACCTTAGCATATACTGCCTCAAACTTTAAATGTGGGGTACCTTGTGAAATTGGATTTCTATCCTCTCCAGTTTTCTAGATAGAGAACTAGAAAAAGGCTCTACTGGGGTGTCCAAACTTATGGCGTCTTCCAGTATGAGCCACACTGGAACCAGAAGTGTTGTCTTGGGTCACACATTAAATACACAAACACTAATGAAAACTGATAAGCAGAAAAAAAGGTTATAAGTTAATTTGTAATTTTGTGTTGCACCACATTCATAGGCATCCTGGGCTGCGTGCAGCCCATGGGCTACAGATTGGACACCCCTGCAACAGACGCAGCTGTGGGAACCTCAGGATCTTTGTTCAGTCGCTACCCACATGGGTGCCAAGTGGCTCTGAGGCGTGGGGATCTAGGCTTCCCCAGCACTAGAGGCTCCTGGGGGCTCCCAGCATCAGCCAGAGGGCCCAGACCCGCCAGAGGGGCTAAGGTGGGCCAGCCCCATGGGAAAGGGGGCTGGGGGGCCACCAGCTCAAGCCCCACTGTTCACAGAAGTGGACTCAGACCATCCACACCCCAAGGTCACTGCCTGGGCCCACCTTGGGAGGCTGGACCTTAACTACCCCCTCCACTCTTTCTCCTACCCCTTCCTTCCTCCTTCCCTTTACTCATATCCTCTGTCCTTCTTCCCTCCCTTCACCCCGATCTTCTCTCTTCCCCCCATCTCTCGTCCTCCCCCATCTTCTCTCCTCATTACTTCCCCCCATTCCCCTCCCCATCCTTGCACTGCCCCTCCCTCCCCTTCCTCTTTTTATTTCCCTGCCCTTATTCTGCCTCCTTCCTCACTCCTGCCCTTCCCTCCCTCCCTCCAGCCAATGAAATAGATCAAATACTTCTGTCAACTCCAAGAGAATCTAGGCCAGTCAACCTCCAGAGGTTCTTCCCAGTTACCTGAAGGCCAAAAGTTCAGAATAAAATAAAGAGTTACCCATTTCTCCCCCTGGATTAGAGAAGGGGCTATTCACGCCCAGAGGACGTTCATTTTTGAAGAATCAGGTATTTTCACTGGCTCCCTCTTCACTGTTGCAGTTTTCTTCCCACAGGCTCTTGCCTGCAGGCTTCTAACCCTGCCTTCCCTTCCTTCCCCTGCCCTGACCCAACCCCCCGCCCCGGGCCCCCCCTTTGGCCTAGAGGACGGAACTGCAAGGTGGACTGTGTTTACAGGGCTAGTTGAAGGAAAGGCTCTATAGCTGGGGACAGCGTGGTGCTCACAGGAAAGGCTCTGGTGCAGGCCGTGCCAGCTGTGGTCCTGAGCAGCCCACCCCCAGGGCCCTCCCAACCTGCCCCTCACCCCAGCACACAACAGGCAGGGCCCCCTCTGGAACAGAGGAAGTTTAAGCTCCAGGGCCCTTGACTTGCTCTGGCTCTTGCAAGAGCATGGGAAGAGCCCCACATTGTGTTCCCATGGTCTTATGTTTTTGTAAGTTCTGTAAAAGGAATATATTTTAGCCCCAGTTGGGGTCAAGCGCTGTTTGTGTCCATTACAGCTTCCCGTCCCTCAGACTTCTCCTCTGGTCACATGGTCCTGGAGTGGCTGCGAGCAGATGGCAGACCCAACCAAGGGGAAGCTGAATCGGAAATACATTTAGTTTGCTTTTAGTGGGATAAGCCTGTGTGGCCCAGGGTCACTTCTGTTGCAGGGGCAAGTGACTGCTGGCCATCCTGGTGCAGGAATGGCTTCCAGGAACGTGCCTCCAGTTGAACCAAAGACCAGCATGTCCTGTAGCACCTGGCATCAGAAATCTGTAGGGGGTGGAGGAAAAACAAGGTTTGAAATGCACTGAGCCAGAAACCAGTCTGGAGAATTCTGTCAAGAGATGTATGAAAGTCAAAGTAGAGGATGTTGTTCTCTTGACGACACCCCATCAAAACGCAAACTCAGGAACATATTCAATGATGTAACACACACACTGAGATGTGTCTCGGAAGGTTGATCAGGAACCTTGTCTTTGCAGGGCACTTACCTGTAGCAGAGCTGTACACAAGTGTGTCTGCGTATAAGCAGGCATGCCACGATGCCTCCCAGCTATCAATAATTTTGATCAAACCTGCTAGAGGGAATCCTACCTTTTCTTCCTATTCTCTCTAATACATAATCATCATATAAATACAGGATCAAAGTATGCTGGAAAAATTTACAAACTTATTTTAACTAAAATTTATTTTGGAGGTGCATCAGGCAGTTAACTAATTAGAATATTATATGTATTCCCTGAATTTTGAGATATCTTTTACATTTCCCAGGTTTTAAAAGCATGTGATTTTTGGTAATTTATTTTCAAAAGCCACTTTCATAAAGGTCGCCCCCCTCCAAAAATACTGTATAAGATTCAGGTGCTACAGACCTGGATCCTCTACACCGGCAGCCTCTGTGAGCTCCTGGACAAGGGACCTGCTTTCTTCTATCTTGTGGGGGGCTGCCCAGCCTGGGCCCCTACATGCCCAGAGCAGTTGAGCCAGTGAGTGCAGCGGCAGCCTTCCCTCCGGGACCCCCGCTGTGGGGGCTACAGAGTGTTTTCCTAAAGGCTCCTATTCCAGGCTGTCAGGCCCTGCTCTCGCTGGGAAAGACAACAGAATGGCTGTTGGGGCCCCATCTCCCCGCTGCTTGCAGGCCCAGCTGTGCAGTTTCATTTTGTCCTAGATCTAGTTGAAGTTCTTTTGATTCTGGGAGAGGTAGAATGGCTTTTTGCCAAACCTTTCCTCTGCTTTGTATTGTGTTTGGTTCAGGTGATCTGACACACAAGACTGTCTTGACCCAACTACAGCGAGGCCATTACCAGTTTTCTCTTTTCTTTAACAGAGTTGGTGTGGACCTGGAAGAAGATCTGAAGGAAGAGCCCTCCTCACACCAGGCAAGTCAAAGAAGCCAATGCTTAAAATATAGAGATAAGACATGTTCTGTTCCAGGGAATGTCCCATGCTTGTTCAGCATGTGGCGCAGGGGCTCTCTTGTTCTAAAGAGAGCTACATCTGCAGATAAAACTAATCAAAGGACTAGAAAATCCATTGGGATTCAGGGAGTCACTAACCACTGCATAACCCTTGGAATGCTTAGCCCTCACATACACTTGTGTCCTCTGTGTGGCAGCAGGAGGCCTGGAAACCTCAGTGTAGGAGCAAGATCAGGACTCCTGGAACCAGGCAGCCTAGAGCTCAAATCCCTGCTGAGTGACTTGCTAACTAACTAATCACAATGAAATTTTCTCAATGCATGTCCAATGCATGTTGGGCATCCAACAAATAGACGTGTTTCTGGGACATGAGTTCTTATTTACCAGGTCCAGGTGTACAGAAATATTGAACATTTGCAAAAGCACAGCAGCTGACTTAGCTAAGCAATCACTACCTGCAGAAACCTGAAGATCCTTAAGGAAAATCTTTCAGAACAATCTGTTTTTCCCTCTAGTAAGGGAAGTGTATTTTCCAACCTCTGGATTTGAACCTGACGTCAGAGTAGAACATGTCACTGAGGTTTTGCATTAGTCATTTTCAATTCAGCGCTTGAACAGTTGTGTAGAAATGATGCACCTTTTGCTGAAATTGCTAGTAGACAGACATGATCAAATAGCATAGTAAGTGATATTGCTTAAGAATTGCGTACAATTATATCTAAACTTGAAGAAGATCCATCTCTTTTATTTATGGTTTTTCCCTACAGTACCATCAATGTGGTACAGCTGGTTAGTGCTGCTGCTTCCCAGGTTCACATAGACATAAAGAAGGAAGGATTCTGTGCTCTTCAGAAAGGGCTGGAAAATTATGCTAATGATCCTAGCTCACATATACTTTAATATTTGTGTCGCATGTGTTGCAAAGCCAGGCTGGTGTATTTTCAGACACCCCTTTGCCCAGGAAACACCTAACTGCAGACCTGAGCACAGGAGGGTGCCAGCACACTGGGATTGGGGCCAGCTTGGTGACCTCAGAAGGAGATCAGAGCCATCTCTTTACACTGGTGGGCTGCCGTGAGCGGTTGCTAAGGGCTGGCAGTTGCTGATTTTCACAAAGCATTTTCATCTCATATAGGTCAACTAATCCATTCTTCTACTTTCAAGTAAAGCTTTCATCTAAATTTTACCCTTCTCATATCTTTTCCTTGATAAGTGATAAGATAGATTCTTTATCTTTCTCTAACAGCCTAATATTTTATGATCACATATAATTATTGATAATATTACCTATTAGGCTAACTCCTTTCTTTTACAATTTAAATGTATTTTATTTTAGCTCATTCACATCAGTGTTAATTCAGTAATAACTCTTACCTGAAGATACTTAACCAGTAGAAAATATTTTTGTTATTGTTAGTAAATCAGTTGGTGCAACACAGTGCAGTGAAAACTATGTGGTATTTGGATCTGAAGCAAGTTTTTACATCTTTGAGTCTAGTTTCTTTGTTTGTAGTGCAGAAGGTGAATAATGATAATGTCTACTTCTCCAGGTTTTTATGACAAGTGAAATTGTATCTACGAAAACTACTACCTAACAATTAAATTAGCTTTGAGGCAGCTTACATCACCACATATAATAAAATAATAGTAAAATATTTTTAAAGAACTTTAAAATTCAGTAAAAAAATTAATAGAAGCAGAAAGCCAAAACCAAAAGAGAAAAAAAAGGAATCATAAATAGTTAAAACATAAGGTTCTATAGACTTGCTATAGCTGAGCTATAAGTAAGCTTTCTGATAACCAAAGTGGGGGGAAAATTAATAATCAGTAACATACTAAATTATTCTCATTAGAGGGAAAACTATACTCTCTCCTCAGGTCATACAAAACTTCACAGGCCACTATGTTTTAAAAGAAGTTCCTCATTTGGGGCTTGCTGGAGGGGACTGATAAAGAGCTATCTAAATGTTAACTAACATAATTTGCATGGTTTCTACTGAGCTGCTGCTGCTTAAAAATAATTTTTATTTTAAGAACCATCCTGAAAGTGTTCTAAATAATGATAATGTGTGGCTACCAGGTCGCTACATTTCAGAAAAAGGTTCCCTCCACACCTTGGAATAATTCTTGTGTTCAGTGTCAAGATACAGGAAGCAGTGGGCTCAGGTTGTAGGAACAAACTGCAGTACCCATGCAGCAGCCACTCAGCCCAGACAGTTTTTTCTTCATTTGTTTTGGTACTTTCCAAACCATGTGTCAGTAACCTCTCCGTCCTCCTTTTGCCTGACAGCTCATTGTTTTATTATCAGCACCTTTTTCTCAGCCTGATGGCAGAGCATAATCCTTAATTCTTAGGAGGACTAGGTGCCTCCACTTGGGTTAGCACTTATTAAACTGGGCTTGCATTAACAAACAGAATAAGCTTTGCACAGGTCAACCTCTTAAAAATGAGACACTATTTTTACTTATCAAAAGCTAAAAAATTCAGAGATAGTTATGGTAATTATTGATTGTGCATTCTCAAATTCAATAATAAACATATTTTAAAGAAAAATTTTCTTTATTCATGGAAAAATTTTTAAAAAGGCTTTGGGAAATATGAAGTTGTAGCTGTGACTAACAACATCGTAATTTTTCTTTTTGCCTTGTAACACCTTTAGAGTATGAATGGTATTGCACTCTTACTTATACCTGACCCAGAAGTTTAGAAAGCATGTTCCATGTGCAACTGTTAAACTTTAATACACACTCTACATAAATGTGCTACTTTGAAAAATGGAAGGTATTGTAGTTGTGAATTCTGTCTCTTAAATTAAAACACACACATATTCACACACATGAACAAACCTCAGGACCCTTCCCCTTGCCCCATAGGAAGTTCTCCTTGTAATTGATTCTGAACTCATTCTGTGTCTTTAGAAGCACAGAATTTCGGAGAAGGTGACTCACTAGAGCATCACACCTGCTTTTAACCTCTCAATAGGAAATTCCTGCTACCCAAGAAGGGTTGCCACTATTACTCTTCTTTTTCCCTTTTGCCATTTTTCCTGATCATCCTAATATGTGTTAGGTACTGATAATGTTGTTAACACTGTTCTAAGCGCTTTATCTACATTAACTCACTCACTTTCCAAGATAACCCTGAGTGCAGTCTATTATCATCCTTATATTTCAAGTGTAATTGTGTATACAGTTACTTATTTTCTACTTAAAAGTATATCAAAAATTACCCTAATTCCAATATCCTAGGTTACAAATTGCAGATTGTATATAAAAACATAAGATGATGGACCAACTTATAGGCAGTTAAACTTAGTAGTTAACTTTTGGGGGGTCAAAAGTTATACATGGATATTCGACTACATGGGGGTTCAGTGTCCCTAAAGCCCCACATTGTTCAAGGATCAACTGTACTAATGCCCCACTGTTGATCAGAAGCCTTAACTCATAACATAAATAAGAAATTAACACATATTTCATATATTATATGGATTATATACTGTATTATTATAATAAACTAAAGAAAATGTTATTAAGGATATCATAAGGATGAGAAAATACATTTATAACATTTACTGAAAAAATCTGTATAGGACTTACAGTAAGGATAGTAGAGCAGGTACATACTGTTCTTACCTCTTCCCATGACCACATCAAGATTACAACTAAATTACAGCACAACCGACTCAGAGAATGACCTGAAATCTAACTAAACAAAAGTCCTATGACTAAGCATATAAAGAAGAAGCCCATGAAGACTGATAGCAGGGGTGGAGACAAAGAACTAGCTGGTCCCACACCCATGTTTGGCAGATGAAAATTGGGAGGGATATCTCAGCTGCAGAGGTCTCCTCTGAGGAGCAAGGAGTCCAAGCCCCACACCAGGCTCCCCAGCCTAGGGCTCCAGTGCTGGGAGGAGAAGTCCCCATAACTTCTGGCTATAAAAGCCATCCAGGATTGCAGTGAGTGAGACAGAGGCTTCTCGTGTCCCAGGCAGTTCCTCCTAATGGAGCCATGCACAGACTCACTCAGACTTATTTTCTCTGAGCTCTAATACCAAGGCATCAGCTCAAAAAGCACCAGGGACATACGGGGAGGAACTGGATTGACTGGCTTTAGAGCAATGTCTAAAGGGACAGTTTACTCCCAGACAGAAGTGTTGGCAGAAGCCATTATTCCTTTGCTGAGCCTGCTGCCCAAAAAGCTGGCAGGCAAGGCCATCTATGAGACCCCATCAATCTGGCTCACACTGTTCTCCCCACTCTGGCGATTCCCTGAGACCCCACTTACTCAGATTTTTGGTCTGCTCAAGGTGTTTCCACCATGCTTTTCCATATGTAGGGCCTGTCTCCACTCATGCTGTAGAATTTCTAAAATCTCTCAAAGGTTTATAAATACCAGATAAACAGCATCTGGCCTCAGCTGCCCAGTACTTCTTGCTAGATGGCCCCAGTCCAGTCCCAGCACTGGTTCAGCCTACTTTAGATCACACCTTAGCTTCTACCAGGCACCTCCACACCCAGCACAAGCAGCAGCAATCTTCATACCATTTTGTAACTTATATCAAGTGGCCCCAGGCTGGGCACAGGCAGTAGTTGACCTTGGTCTACACCAGAGCCCCTCCCAAGAGTCTCCAGAACTTACATTCCTGGCGGCTATATTTAGATCATACCAGAGCACTATTCAACCACCTCTACAAACAACATACCCAAAGAGTAGACTTAGCAGGCAATAGAATGCCACTAAAGTGAATCCTGATCCCTGAAGTCAGTCTCCTAACCCCCACAGCAGCTCATATGCTGGGGTCATGGCCAGTTTCCCCAGGAGTCAGCCTGAAGGTCAATCTAACCCACTGATGTGCCAACAGCAATCAAGGCTGAACTATACAGGAGGGTTCACACAACCCACATAACTAACACACCTGGAATAACTGGCTCAGGTGACCAGGGAGACTGTATCAC